ATAATTATTTTTTCATGTGTAATTAATATATTGATTAATTTAATTAATTTTCAATTACTGTATTTCATTTTTTTAATTATTTAATTTAATTTTTTAATTCGTGCAATTAATTTTTCAATTATTGTAATTCAGTTTTCATTGATTGTTTTAATTTTTAAATTGCTGTATTTAATTTTGCAATGATTGTGTTTAATCTTTTAATTAATTGCAATTAATTTTTTCATTGTGGTAATTAAATTTGTTAATTAATTAACTTAATTTTTCAGTTATTGTAATTAAATGTTCAATGATTGTTTTTAATGTTTTGATTAATTAATTATTGTAATTATTATTTTTTAATTTAATTTTTATTTCAGGAATATTTTTTGAGTTGCGCAAGCTAATGTTACTATTTCTACTACAATTCGGCTTCTCAAAAGAAGTGACGAAAAACAAAAACAAAAAAATTAAAATATAAACAAATTGCTTGTGCGCGCACATGAACAGAATTTAAATTTATTTAAAATAAAAACAGCCTAAATTTAAATTCTTGTTAATTATGCGCGCACTCACAAAAATACATATGTATTTATTACTTTCATATAATATTGTTTCTTTTCCTCTTTAAATAGCACTTCTAATAATTTGTGCTTTCCATTTTTAGCAATTTTTTTAGTGTTTGAGCGTTGATTTCACATTTTATACCTATATACTTTTAAACTAGAGGGTTCTTACAAGCATAACGGTTACCTTAAAACTAACTTTTATGTTTATATGTATGTATATATGTAAATGTAAGTGTATTATAATTTTATTTTTGCCATTTTCTTCGGGCAATAGCTTGTATACTTTTACATTTTCGTTTTGTCTTCATTAAGAAATTTTTTTCACAAAATTTTTGTGCAAACTTTAGTTTTGCAATTATGTAACGCATTTCGGTACGGACGTCTATTAACAGTTTACAGTGTTTTTATTTACTTTTTGTTCATTTATTTCATAAGCGCCGTTGGTGTGCGTGCCTTTAAGGCACTTAACCGACACACCAATAGCCTCACAATTCATAACTCTTTTTTTCAAAAATCTATCTCTCATTTTGCGCAGCTTTTGTTTTTGTACAGTTTTGGTTTTGAATATTTTTTTAACTTAAACAATTTCTCTTCGTCTTTTATCGTTTTCTACAGTTCTTACTGGTAACTCCGCTCTTCTGTGCACATTTCGGTTTTTTACTTTTCGGTTTTAGTTATGTACAATTTGCGCTTACTTGGCTTGTAAGCTTATTATCATGTGATATGAGTGGTCTTTTTCTATGTTAACGTGTGTTGTTTGTGTGTATGTGTGTGCTTGTGTGTTTGTGTAAGTGTTCGCAATGTTTCTATTGTACTTATTGAACTAAATAACTACTAATCATTATAACACATTACTTTCAATAATCATAACTGTTATTACTTCTGCTAATATTTACTTAAAACTTGTGTCTTTTTGTATGCAAAATTGTATACAATTCAACAAAGTAACAACTGGGTGAGGGGAAGACGGCTTGAAACGTGTGCTTGCTAGCAAAAAGTCACTTTCGAAATTCAGAAAATGAATTTTTGACTTATGCGCTTTTTTGTGTTAAGCCACCTGGCGTCTCAAGCGCTCTTCCTCTGTCTCTATACATGCATATACGCGCTCTTTTATAAAAGAGCTTTTCTTGTAGTCTAAATAAAGAAACAAAAAAAAAGTTATCAAACACGCTTACACGCCAACACTTCAAAGCTCTCATACGAGATTAACAAACAAAAACAAAAGCTTTCATCGTTTGAGTGTCTCTATAAATGTGTGTGTGTGTGGGTGTGACTTGTGGTGCTCGCAAGCTTTCAGCAAGGAGCTTTTACAGCCAACACCGATGCACATTTTCACATGCATACATAAATACATACATATATGCATTGTACATACATACATGCGTGGATGCTTGACTTTATGGAAGGCGTATTTGTTTTGCAGATGCGTGAATGTATGAGTATGTGTTTGTGTGTGTGTTTATGTATGCGGTGATAGACTTAGAAATGCGTCACAACAATATCCTCTTCGAGATCATCCAACTCATCGTCGGTCTCCTCCACTTCGCCGGTGGCATTAGCCTCGGCGGCGGCTGCTGCGGCAGCGGCTTCCTTCTCCTTGGCGGCAGCCTCCAATTTCTCTTGTTTCTTTAGCTTGCGTTGCTACAAAATCGAAAAATATAAATATTATTACAACTTCAGCGTTCACAGAGAGATCACCGGCACTTACCTTTCTTCTGTACAGAATCTCGACAATAGTATAGCCGATGCATCCTAAAGCCAACACAGCCAAAAGCACATAAAGCTTCATGCGCGCACACAATGTTGTAGCATATGCATAGGCGATAACGAAACCGGCTGATTCCCAGAGACGGTAGTTGGAGAAGGCCGCTTCCTTGTTGCGACGGAAGAGTAGACCGTATAGACCGTTAATTTGTGTTTGCCATACAGCATCGCCGACACCCCACAAACCAGACATAGCGTAGAAGATGAGTGGATTTTCGGGACTGGGACGCCAGAACAATTCCACGGAGATAAGTGTGAAATGCACGACAGCGCCAAGTATAATAATGGGCAGACGTCCAATATATTTCATCACCGAACCGAAGAGAATTGAGCATATGGCATTGACCACACCGAAACAGATCATCACGAAGCCGATTTGATGAATACCTAAAGCGCACGATACATAAGCTTGTGTGAAATCAGCGCCGATAAAAGCCTGTTCCATGCCAATGAAAATGGTGATTGGTATGAGCAGCTGTTGATTGGGTTTCTTCATTTGACGGAAGGTAGCTGATAGCAATTCCATGCCGGACAATTCTTGTGCGGACTGTGAGCCCTTACGTTTCTCACCATAACGTTTAAGTGGATCCAAGAAGATGGCAATAATGGCAACAGCGGCAACAATGCAAGACAAGTAGATCATGGTGATTTCGAAGATCTCATGATCTGGTGGGCGGTTCAAGTTGCCATGTCCATTGGTGGATTGCACACAGAAGTTGGCACCACAGTATTGCAGATCTTCTTCGGTAATGGTTGTGTTGGAATCGCCGCTACTGCCGTGAGCGCCGCTCGAAAGCACTGCAATGGAAGGAATAGAAAATATTTTAGATCGGTAATCTTAAATGATTAAACGGTAAAATGTTACTTTTGAATTATGACGTCAAGATTTTGTGGAAATATTTCAAAAAATGTCAGCGTCTACTTACCCAAACTCGAGATCAGATTTCCCCACAGTTCGGCCGTTTGCCAGGCCAAGAAGAAGAAGCCGAAGAACCGCACAATAATCGCATCCACAGCTTGTTCGGTTATTTTCGCATAAACTTGACCGACCTGTGTCAAATAAGTGGCCTTAGATGCCCACATAGGAGCGGCACCCAAACCGACTAGAATACCAGCAGGAACCAATGTGTAGAATCTAAGCAAATTAATAGAGTATAAGAAAATTTTATTAGCATTTAAAATATTATGGTAAATGCAGAAAGAGTTCTGGAGAACGCGTCGAATGAATAAAATTCCAAAATTTTTCTAAAAACACTTTTTTCAGAGTCGGTATGGAATTTTTCTCCGAAGCGGTTGAACCGATCGACTTGAATTTTTCACACAATCTTCTTAGTTATTTTTGTCAGATAATTTTTTCAGTATAAAAGTTTTGATAAAAATGATTAAAAATTATAGATTTTTAATAAAAAAAAAATCGATTTTTTAAGTTTTGAGATTTTTTTAAGTGAAAATTTTTTCACAAAAACGACTTTTTTTGGGTACTCATTGCATTCTCCCTTCGACTCTCCTTTGAACTAGCCACAAACTACTTACTTTGGGAACAATTGGAAGGCAATGTACGGCGCGTAGCACAGCATACTGAAGACCAGCGTCCATTTCACAGTCAATTTGCGTATAATAAGTGTGGGTAGGAAGATGCATGAGACGACGAGCGCCGCGTAAATGGCGCTCAGCGACACAGTGCCTAAGCCATCTGTGGCATTAATCGAGGACTGTAAATTGGCCGTGCCCTGGTTGGAGGAAACAAGACAAGCATATGTAAATTTAATAAAAAAAATTATAAAAAAAAGGAATTAAGAAAGAAAATATGTATAAATATATAGCGTATGTGTGTATGTAGGTATGTATGGTGTAAGAAAACAAAGAGAAAGTGAGTTTTAATAGTATAAACATGTGCGCGTTTATATGTATTTTTGTTTTTATTTCAACTTGTATGTACCCAGCGGTGTTGGGCAGTGCGTGCGTATGGTAATCATTGGCGCGCTTGTATATATTTCTTTTTATTTTATTTCATTACTGTTTTTCAACTATGAAACGAATCAATGCGCTGCTTTACAATATACTCGATGACTACAGGTGCGCATGCACGCACACACAGCTGGATTTTTTCTTTTTTTGCTTTTGTATATGTTTATAGGGTATTCATATGACATTTTGCTTTGTGGCCTTACCTGAAATGCTGTGAATTGTACCATGAATGCAAATGATATGATGGTGATATTTTTCAAAATGCGCCATTTTTCGCCCGGATTTAAAATAACTTTCTCTCTGAGTGATGCTGTGTCTGGCTCAAAACCAGCTTTTGGCTGCAAATAAAAATACAAAAGAAAATTGTATAATTTTTTTTTTGCGAGAAAAACTTAACTATATTTAAATAAATACTTATTTATTATAACTGAAACTAGGTTATAGTAAAAAAGAAATTGTTAAATCGAGTGTTCAACAAATAACGCAAAATTGCAAATGCAACCGTTATTGGGCGAAATTTAATCAGATGTTTTAGAGACAAACATTCAAGACTTCCAGTAATTGAACCCTGTAGCCCACTAAGCGCATGAGGATCGCGTGGAACTGTATCGGCGGTAGAAGGAGCATCGTTAACGCGGCCGCTGGCACACTGTTGGTGGCGCGCACGCTTAGACCGCTTTTAAGACAAAGCGTTTGCTTAACTTTTCTACTAACTTTTAGCAGCTTCTTTATTTTTTGCTCCTTTTGCTGCTTTTGCTGGCGTACTAAAATTAATTAATCGCCCGATTTGCATACTGGCGCGACTGGCGTTCATTCGTCTATGACGCGACTTGTATTGTGTCGCAACAAATAAAACAAATTAAAGCAAAAGTTATAATTAAAGCAAATTTTAAACATTTTCACCCAAAATGCAAACCAATTAAAAATCCTCTGGCATATTTAATCGAGCGTACAATATGTGAGTGTGTCTAAGAAGTGGCACAAAAATAGTTTCGATGTCATGTTTTCATATTCGATTTTATATCTTTGTTTACTATTTAAGGTATATATATACCTGTGTCATTGAAATATGCCATTATACGCATATTTTTGGGTTTTCTATTTTTGTACACCTATTTTTACTTATACTGTATTTAAATGTTAACAGCAAGTTCCTTAAAAAATGTCGCATTTTGACCTTTAGGCAAAATATAGTATGTGCAGAAATTTTATTATTATTTTGTTTATTATTATTTTTATATTTATTATTATTATCTGTTTATTTTTTTTATGGAAAAAAAATTTATTAAATATATATGATTTTTTAATATAAAGAGTGGTCTGTAAATGTGTAAGTTTGTATATTATTGTTAATTTTTATAAAAAAATTTAAGGATTTTTAAAATTTATTAATTTGAAATTATATTATTTCGCAAGAAATTCAAAGGTTTACCAACTCTTTTTGCTTAAATTTTTTACTTGAACAAAATCTGCAAGCTGTGGTACCTGACGACCTAAGTGATTTTAATTACAAAACATATTAAATAAGTGTATATGCTAATTATTAAATATTTATAAATAATTTTCGTGAGAATTAATTTTAAATCCTGACTTAATTTTAAATTTAATATAATTTAATTATTTTTAATTTTTTTCTAATTTTCTTTATTTTTAATTTCTGATTTTGTTTTAATTTTTCTATTAATTAAATAATTTTTAGTTTTACGTCTATAAACTTTTTTAATTTCCTTTAATTCATATTCTTTGCTTTATTTTCCGTTTAATTAATTTTTCTAATTAATTTTAATTTAGTTCACTTTTTACTTTATTTATTTAGTAATACATTTTTTAAATTACCGTTTTTTTCTTTCTTAATTTTTATATATTTCGTTTTTGTTTTTGGTAAATCTATAAAATAAAAATGTAC